AATACGCTCTTCTCTTGGATAAATCTTCATTTTAACTTAGCAACACAATAATAATATTAAAATAACGACCAACACGTCTACAATTACAAAAAACAATACTACTCTAGCTATTAAAAAGAGACTTTGCAGTCTAAACTGACAAATAATATAAATGATTTGACATGTGTAAATGGCATAGGCAACTTAGATACATTGGAACCTTAAATTAAACATCATCAAATGGTGCACAGAACGACTATTTGACGTATTTTGTAAAGAGGCAAAAACTTAGCTATTAACATGCTAATACCATTCGATAGGTAATTAAAAATTTCATTTCCTGGTAAGTTAAAAAATATGGGGTTGTATTTAAATTAATCAAGTTAGAGCCACTTAAAGTTCTCATTTGATTAGTTTAAATTTGTGTATAACATGGTAAGTTTATTATCATTGGGATATAAAATATTATATCTTGTTACACTTCACTATAAATTACACTTACATAACTTAAATACTTATAAAGTATTTGACACGTGAAAATTAGATTAGATTTTGATTAAACTCGTATTATTTAAAATACTTTAAGATTTAGGTGTTATAAACCTTATTAAAACAGACACTTATTTTGTTCAGCGAATCCAAAAACGCAATAATATACAGGACATTTCATTTTAAAAAATGCAACGTGGATACCTATAAATTCGTCGATATTTTTAAAATGTGCGCTCGGTAGGCGTCGCATTCATAAAATAATACTTTTTAAAAATCAAACGGTTTAGCCGCAAACTTCCGTGCCGTATAGCGTGAATAACCCTGTATGGAGCTAGAAATGAAAAACGAATATTTATGGATAAAAGTTACGTTAATTGACATTATCAAAATCCACTTCATATCCAAAAAGTGTGAGCTTTGAGCAAAATACTTGGTGAATTATAAATTAAATTATTTTCCACCACAGCTTAAGAACTGGAAAAACTTAGCAGGTTCGAGCGATGGCCGCAAAAGCCAAACTCTCATATAAAACGTAGTTGGAAAAACTAAAAGTAAATTTGTATAAATAAATGTTGGAATGAGTCTTAAATGTTTCTACGCGTTAATGTGTTGCTACCTTTTGATTAGTTAGCCAGTAAAACTTCATTTAAAAATATCGACGAATTTATTAATAGCACCGCGAATTCAAATAGTTGATGAAAGTAATTAGGCATGCAAAACTCATCGCATTTATATCTAAATCTCATATTTGTAGGATTTAGGAGGAGTAACTTACATTTTCGGTATCCTCACGCTTGTAACTAATGGTAACAGCAACAATCATTCGATTTGGATCTGATGGCTGAGCCCAGCGCACGGTGACGCTATTCGAAGTGGTGTTGACGATGGTAGCATTCAGGATATTATCAGCTCCCTCTGAATACAACAGGAACAGAGCATGAGTTAAATTATTCATCAGATTCATTCATCAGATTTGGCACTTACTTTTCGGAAGTGTTTGTGCGGTATCATACGCGGGTTCTCCACAAGGCTCTTCGTGATCATCCTCCTCTTTTTCCCTACAGCAGTAGATGGTGACATCATATTCCGTAAAATGCCGGAGATTATCAACCTCCAATGATAGCACTGATGCATTGACTGTGTAAATAAACGTCTTCCAAAACTGCGTTGCCGGTTCTGTTGAATTCTCCATTTTTTTGTCGGCAGAATTAATGTTATCGAAGAACATATAGTCGTGAGGGTCATCAACAGTGGATATTTCCGTTGAATTTGCGGAGTTCGCATCAAGCATTTGATCAACGTCTCTTCGCATGCGACTGGGTCGTTTGATATACACTTTATTATGAAGAGCATTTTCAAACTCTATTCTCAACACTTCCTCTTGCTCGTCTGTAAGTTCAGTATCAATTTTATCGTTGGTGTTGTTGCAAACTTGAGGTGGTCGTTGCGGTGTCACCATTGGCTTCGATTTCGTACTATCCGGAATTACTGTATCGGTGCAGTAGTTTCTATTGGGCAGAGAAATGTCTTTGTGCTTGGTTCCATAGATTTTAAAATACGAAATTTTTCCGTTTGGCCGGTGAGGGGGCGACCAACTAACCCGCAAAGAACTACTTGACGATTGGACTATTTGAACTTGTTCCACAGCCGAAGGTTCTGAAGGTTTCGTTCTAAAATAGTTAATGTCGCTTTGGGCACCATTTTTTTCAGTGGCAATAGTGTAAGTTTTCACAAAAAATGCATATTGAGTATAAGGTTTTAGGTTGTTCAAAGTGTGCTTAATCACAGGCTGATCCAAGTTGTTAGCTTCATCCTCAACTCGCCAATTATCTTGACCGCAAGCGTCTCGGCCGTCAAAAAAGTTCACCGTTTTGGTTGGAGCTTCGATACTATGCACACTGTATCGTAAAAGATTTCGGGGATCGTCGATTTTCAAAGGAAACCACTTTAATGTGACCGATTTGCTGGAAACAGTTGCAATAGTAACATTCAGTTTACTCATCATGCAGGCGGCTTTGTCGCCGTTGGAGTTTTGAGCTACTTCCATCTCGGTAGAAGCTGAAAGGTTGGCTTTGTTCCTAAGCTCCTCAATTTTTCCAAGACAAAGCTTGGGGTTAAAGTGGAAAAATAATCTACCGTGATCAATTTTAAAATCTTTATGTGTACTCCAATCGAATAGATCTTGCAGATTTTGGTTATCTAAAACTATAATGCTGTACCTTTGGCTTTCCAAGTTTCTTCCACCGATTCTCCTAAGACTTTTAAAAAAATTCAAATTAAGCAATGAAAAAGATCGAACTACTTTGAGATAATCATCGATTTCCTCAATCATGCCCAAATTCTCCTGTAAAGCTTTGACCACTTGGTTGCCGCCTTTTATTTGAATCTCTACAGAACCTGTTATATGGGTGCAGCTTCTTAACTGTGAAGCAAGGTTAATACTGTCTATTCTGGCTCCAGGACATTCTTTTCTGCACGTATTATTACACTTGCTACAGCTGTGGTCTGTATAATTACCGGAGTAATTTGGAGGGCAATGTAAAACGCATGAACCATCATGAATTTTATACGGATGTTCGATTAAATCAGTTGTTTCAGAGTCACTATCTTCAAAGTCGATGGGTCTAGTCATGTTGACACATTCCGAATGTGTTACACATCGTCTTTCGAGATAAGCCAAATAATTCCTGGGACACATTTGCACGCACTTGGAGGAATCATCTTCTCCCGCACTAAAAACAAACTCCTGGCAGGCAAAACACTTTGTAGTGTCGGCTCCACAGCCACCAATGCACCGTGGATGACAACATTCTCCTTCATCATTACAAGACCGTTTCCCGCAGCCTGTGCAGATTTTCTGACAGTGATTCCTGTTCCAGCAAAGGTACTTATTGTTGTTGTTATTTTTATTCCGCTCATTGCGTGGACAGGCTTTGCCGTTGATTGCCTGAGGACACACTGGACACTCATTCTCTGGCTTAAGGCTTTTGATAAATGTTGGATCCTCTGTAGAAATTATTTTCGTCCAGTCAATGCTATGTACGAAGCAAAGAGACGGGTTTCTGTCTATGTGGACTTTCCCATTCATAATATGCGTTAGAGAGTGCAATCCAATTTCCTGGAGTGAAGCCATTTCGAAAATGACCAAAGATTTTCCTCCTGGAAATAGATGCTGTCCCCGAATTACTGCTAGGTTTGGAAATAACTGGCCCACAGTTTTCAGACTGTTCACTCTGAAAAGTAGGAAGTAGCCAGTTATTTCCCTTAAAGCTGGAAATGAAATCTGACTAAACTCAGTTTCATTTAGGTTGTCAAAAAGAAGGATTTGCAAGGAACCTTCGATAACCTGACAACCTTCCAATTGCTTGAACGAGTCGATTTTATTTCGGATGTCCAAACTTTTGCAAACTGAAACAAATTTGCTGATTGAATATACTACAGGACGCCGGCATTGCCGGACTTGCGAGACTTCGGCTTTAGTGACTTGCATTTTGAGAATGAAAGCGTCGAAAATGAACCAACACAAGCCAGACATACATTTTCTCCACTTACTGTCTCTGCGTTGTTTTATAAATTATATATTTGCGGGGCAGGGCCTTTTGATCCGTGATTTAAAACCGATTTCGAATTCTAAGGGCTGTAAATACTGAATGTTAGAGCAAATCAAGTCATTGGTTCCACACTATAAATGAACGAGCAATTTGCCAAATTTTGTATTACTAAAATTCGAGGACCAAAATAATAAACACGTGCTAGAACTAGACAAATGAGCATAATTAGCGCGCCGCCCGTTCAAATATTTATTTTAGCGACACTTTTAGCGCATTAGCGAAAGAAATTCCAGTAGGTGGAGCGAAGTGTAAAGGAAGCCTTAAGAATAAATTAAAAATTAAAAACACTTACTGCCATGTTCTGGAACAGGGTAGAGAAGTTCAGCTGCCTCCACTTTGAATGACAGCGGCAGAAAGAGAAAAAATTGAAACGCCAAGATAATGGCACAGGGCCGCAAGATCCCTAACCACATGGCTGAAGACTTGCCTGCCATCAGAGGCACCCCCTGATACGCCGGGGATCGGCGAAAGGGCTCGATTTCCCGTAAAAAATCATTCGGCTCTGTAAACAACAGAAACTCATATACTAAAAATAGATTTTAAATTGTTGAGTGTGTGCCATGACAAGCAACAAAGTTTTCCTATGTCGGAACACATTGCAAAATCGTTCTGAAGACTTCAAATGTGAAGCAGTTTCTTCTATTAAATACGCTGCATCACAACTTCAGATATATTAAAATAACGTAAAAGTACTGAGTTAATTGCAAAGAGTGTTATAAAAAGCAGTTAAGGTCATTTAAAATTAGATGAATTGTAACGGTTTACATGCAGTGAAATTACCTATACTATGGTGAAAAGAAGGTATACACATTTTCCCCGATACACTACAAAAAGTAAAAACAAACGCGACAAATTTCAAACAAAATAAAATCGAAACTACACTCCACAACGACTGTCACTAAGAATATCTGTAGATAAATGTTCAACTATTTCAGATGCTACCATTGAATTTATTACAAACTTTTTTCGACTGATATTGTAAACATTTTATTAAAGCTGAAAAATATTTACTCCTCCCATGAACTTCAACAAGAGACCATATCCATAAGTAATAAAACAATTTGCAAGTAGTCAAACGGCATTTAATTACAGCTTATCAAAAATTAATATCTTCGTTGTAGAAAGTCGGAAAAAAACTACTGGGAATGTTTCATTAAGTTGGACTTAATTAATTCGCAAAAATGTATTAAGTTTATTTATTATGAAAACGCAATGTCAGTAGCACACAAACTCAGGGTAATAAAAAAAATACTTTGGAAATTTGCTGTCGTCGCGTCTGGCAGAGCTGATTAAAAGCTGGAAAATCGAAAACAAAGGTTTCACTTACACTGTTCTGAGATAAATTGCATATTTATAGAATTAAATTTGAAAATGAGCATCAAATTAAAAATGCACCGAACTGAGCTGGAGCTTAAAACGTGATTAGCATAAAATCGGGCTCATTATTTTGAATAAATCGAACAATAGCCTAAAGAACGACTAGAGTAGAAAAAGTTTTGACGAACTTTGAACATAACTTGGCTTTCACACTAATAGCTTTTTTATTTATTACTGGGTTATGCGAGGAATTATTAAGCTTATAACCGCACAGAGTGAAGTAATGTGTTGCAAACATGAAAGCTTTGTGTTTGTTTTCAATCCCTCATAAAAAAGTATCCAAAATTAATATTCAAATGCACCGAGAATCAAATAGAAAAATTTCAATATTGTTTAACTAGATAAATTAATCATGAATTGCTTACAGATAACTATGCAATATACAGATAACTATGCAGATAATGGAAGACGTTGCAAACCCAGAAATTTTAACGGAACACTTTGTTTATGTTTTTAAGTTGATTTCTACTGAACTTTATGTTACCACCACCTAAAAGAAAGGTCGTCACATTTTTT